CTTCTTCTTCTTCATCGTCTTCTTTGTCTCCGGGACGAGATCGAATCCGAATGATCGAAATCGGTGAATTCCCACCCGAATTATTTACGCACGTCACGGAACAAAGTTGGGAAAACTGTTGGGGTTTTTTTTTTCGTCATAAAGTCATCGTCGAGTCTCACAACGGTTCTTGTACACCGGTCTCGAGAACAGCATCGCTCGAACAACGATGATATTAGTACAAACGCGATATTCCGCAGTTTTCAAAATTCCGAAAAATGTGGTTTACGGTCGATACACGTTTAAGCGAGACAGACATCCACTTTATGCTTTCTACAGAAAATTCACCGCCACGGCGAAAGAAAATGCAGGAGATATTCATTTACTTAAGAAAATTTTCCAATATTGTATATTTACTGCTCGCTGTTCTGTTTTATCATCAACAGGGGCGCAATTTCAATAAAAAAAAACTGGGGGTGCTGAAGCCCTTCTATCTTTTTCATATTCCTTAATGGTTATTGACACCGGCGACCTGTATAACTCAACGGTTACTAAAATATTTGTTAAATATTTGAATATTTCTAACTTTAATTTGTTCACTTTGATTTTATATTTTTATTGTGCGTACAACGAATTACCCATCTGTAAACACAAATGTTTCATCACATGATCACATTTAGATTCTGAATGAAGCGATTCGATAAGAATATTATGGTAATATAATGATGTTTGTATTTTATTTTTTTAACACTTTTTTGGATAAAAATACTGGTGCAAAAGTTTTTTCTAGGAACTTTTTAGATTTTAAATTGGCATGTGGTTAATAGTTTTTCCAGGCGTGAGGAAAAAACTATCCTGAAATGGTAAAAATACACTATAAATTAGACTCACTTTTCAGATTTTAGTTATTTATTCATAATTCCAAAAGTAATGTGGCTAGAAATTTGAAACTCTAGCAAAGATATTTTTTTTTCGTATTTGATTAATAAATATTTGGTGGAAAAATTAATAATTTTTTTCGTTAGACAGTAAAATATTAAACAGGTTGATAAAAAAAGAACCTACCGATAATTAGACTAAAATTGATAAAATATACTTATAAATCGTTAATTTTTATACTGAACTTTTTGATTCAGAACCGTTTTGATAAAAAAATGACTTATAATTTCTTTAAAACTCAGTATATTTATTACTAGGCTTGCCACTCGTCCTGGTGTCCCGGCCGATCATTCAGATTATACCAGTTAATAGAAGCTGATAAAAAATAACATTGAATATAATTATTTTGTTTTCATATCAAAATAAAAAAAAGAGTCATTCGATAGGTTTGATAGGTTCAGGTTTAGAGATTTCAAAATCTGGCATCCCTACCTATTACTATTATCTAGTTCGAGGACCAAAAAGACGAAGGACGAACTTCCACTACCATTATTTAAATAATAAATTTATATAATTATACAAAAAAACTCTGTTTTTCTATACATAATGATAAATCAGTATTTAAAGATAAATTAGCATGAACAAATTTGGGGGTGCTAAGCACACCCAAGCACCCCCCCCCCAAATTGCGCCTATGATCATCAAAAATTATTAGCACAGTTACTGCGAGCTCGCTTGTGTGTGCATTTCCCGAGTGAAGCGTAATTGTTGTTAAAAGGTTCGCCACATTTAATGACGATATGACCGACATTTCTGTAGAGACTTTCAAATCGAACGGACGTTAAAAAATAATAACCCGACGCACAAATAACGTTTTTACAATCATGATACACTCGCATTAGATGTATGCAGAATGACAGTGATCGTTTGGTTTTTTTTTTTATTTTCAATTTGAAAAAAGAATTCTTTAAAGCAAGTTTCGATGATAACAAACTGAGCACCTCTCAACAGAATATTACGCCTGAATATATTAATAGAGCCGTGCAATTATAATTAAAATAATAGCTGACAGTATTGGAAATACGCCAATAACATTTGTAATCTTCGACTAGAGTCTTATAATATATAATGTTTTTATGCGTACGGTTTGCGTACATGGGTGTACATTAGCGATGTGTACAGTGAAAGTTAATATCAAAACGCTAACATAAAACTTACTACATACTTGAATAGTAAACTTTTAACAAACAAAAACCGTTGTAATCTAACTACCATTACCATCAGAACTAATTGATAACTTTTACTGCGAAAATAACAACGTGTCTATCGTTATTCCGATTTTACTGCAGTGCAACGGATCATTTTCAAATCGAGCGATTAAAGATTTATCATTCAACGCGCATAATAATAATAATAATAATAAGAATATGATTATGTATAACACATCTAATATAGAAAATGATTATAATACGGTAATCGTGGGTGGCTTAATAAGGTGATTTATATATTAGTTTGAATACATATTTTAATTGGGTAAAATTAAACCAACGTGATCGGGACTGCACATTAATTAGATGTCCGGAGGAACAATAACGAATATTGTAAAAAAAGAAAAAAAACAACATTTTTTTTTTTTTTTTTATCGTTTTACGGCACCGCATAACATTTAATGTGGACTCGTAGCATAAACGCGGTTAAACATCGCAGTACAATAGAAACCGTACACAACGAAACCGTTCTCCACGACGTTGGTACATATATTATCTATTATATCTTGTGTACAGCTGTAGTCTCAGTAATACTCGCGTCAGTCTTGTAATTAACATCGGTTAGTTCGAATTGTTGGATGACCGATCTATTCAATTTCGTCGTAAATGGTTTCTACTGTCTGCGATTGAAAAAAAAAAACCGTACGCCTTTCGTGTAATGGAAGTTAATTAATAATATGTACACATATATCTATATATATACGTATTCACTGCAAATGCGTTTTGGGCTATGAAATAAAAAACTGTGTACAGGGTCCGTTTTGTAGCCTCAAACTGATATGAGTGTATTACAATCGTATATCCGACTACAGGTTATATTATATATATATATATGTATGTATGGTAATAAAAGTATTTAGAAAGTGGTTTCGGTGCACTACACATCATGTTTATCATATTATATTACACACATGTTCACGTGTATCAGTACGCATCATAATATATTGTAAATACTAATAGTTTACGATTGCAATGCGTTATATTATATATTAATACGTACATAAACTCGTACGTACACCCATATACATATACCCACATATATATTATCAGTGGTTAAAGCGAAGGGAGACGGAAGAGGACGGAGTCCTCATTCTTATTTAAGGTAATATTATGTGTCTCATTCAATTTAAATTCCCCCCTTCCCCCGTCCGGAGAGACTTAAAGCTAAACGGCGTTAGTAATTATACAAGTGGAAAAAAAGTTGAGACTTCGAAGAAAATATATTTATGAAGAGATAATATATTGCGATGTGTAAGAAATAAGTATAAGATAATATTCTCGTAATCGTGAGTCAATTTAACAGATGCTGTGTCTAATTGTAACGGTATAAACATAGTTCACCCCGTATCCGATACTCGACACATAATTTATAATTATAATGGCTGTTCTAAAACAGTAGTGATATGTGATAAACAACAGCATTTAACGATTGTAAGTAATGGTCATGGCGCAAACAAGTTCAAATAAAATATATGTTAGGGAAGTTCTTAAGTTATAATTGAAAGTTAAATTCTTAGGTTTTTTAAATTATAATATATACACGGAAAAAAAATTCAAAATATATCCTAAATTTTTCCTTAAAAACTGGTAAAGTTTGTTCAAAAAATGCTTAAATCCAAGGAATATTTATTTTATTTAAAATATTTTTAAGTATGCTAATTAATTAATTATGTATAGTTATATTATAAACACAATGTAATTATTTTGATTTATATTATTAATAGTTGTATTAATTGTTGTTTGCACTTATAAACATATTCCTAACAAAAAAAAATTGTGCCCAGTAAAAAATTCAAGATAATTTACATAAAGTTTTTTCATATGTAAAATTAAAAAAAAATCACAACACATTTAATAAAACAACAAATTTATCACTAGTGATCATATTGTTAAATAATAAAATAACATTTTTATTATAGTTTTATTTTAATCCTTTTTTAATATTATCTTTTTTCCGTGATATTTAATTTTAAATTTATGAATTGAACAAAACTAATATTTTTTGCCGACAACAACACATATTTTAAAACATGAAAAATAGTATAATATTCTCTCATCCCCAAAATAAGTTGAATTGTGTAAAATAAATATTTTTTCTAAAAACTCAAATTAATAACTATAATAAATAAATATAAAAATAAAAGTTAACTTTCAGTTGTATAAAGAAACATATATTTAATTAATTGTTGATAATTTATAAACATTATAAATAGAAGACATAGTTAAGAAAGATGTAGAAAACTTAGGAGGCGAAGCAAACTGGAAGAATTTGGCGATGAATAGAGATGGCTGGAGAATTGGTTGTGAGACGGGATGGTCCTAGCTGCCGTTTAACTCAAAAAAAAAAAAAAAAATACATAAACATTATTATTAGGTATATGCATATTTATTACTGTTTTATTTAACATCAACTGTATAATGAAATATTTTAGACTAAACCAAACTAATTTTTAGTTTTTACACCCTATGAAAGTTTGTATAAACAAATGTGTGTAAAATAAAAAAATTATAGAGGTATTGTCTTATGAACTAACTAAAAAAGTTCGATAGCATTTAGACTTTGGTAAGGGAACGTTCCTTTACCATTTTTGGTGATTGTAGTTCCCCCTCGACATTCTTACCACTTTAACCACTGTATATTATGTACGTATAAAATGTATACGAGTAAATATATGTGTTAAGTATATGTATTGTAATGCGGTCGAAACATAAATCATCTCGCATTCGTACAGTAGTGGGCTTATAGTCAAAATAATAGTAATAGTAATGGTAATAATAATAACGGTATTGATGATACGATGGCGGACGATGTAAAAACAACACGGTGAAACGTTAATTATTGTATTTGATCAAAAACGTATGCGTATTGTCTAGGTTGCGGCGTTTCGGTGGCCAAACAGCAAGGAGCGCAGAGAAGAATTGTCGGAGGCGACGAAGCCGGGTTCGGCAGCTTTCCGTGGCAGGTAATAATTTCGATAACAACAACAACAACAAGTATAATAAAACGGTTGTCCGCGCGAACGTAATAACGCCAAGGCGAATTCCGTATAATACAATGTGTGTCTTTTGTATAATATTTACATTGTTCATCTTTAATCGAATGAAGGTTTATTCACCGTTAGTTCGATCGAATAAAAATCGTAAGACAAATAGCAAAAATCTTCGTATTGATGGTCTTGACGCACGGATGACAACATGTCCCCGCTTTACAGTCCTCTAACAATGAATCCAATATTATTACATCCACCGACAAAAAGCGGTCCAGATTTATTTTCAATGCATTGACGCATGTTGTGATACATCCACGTGTACGAAGAATTTTACTCGTCTGACTAGCTCCGCTAGCGCGTGATTTGTTGTTGCTCTGCGATTGTTGTTGCACTGCGATTCGTTTACCGGTTAAATAATAATAATTTTCAAAAATCCACGTTTTCTGAAAGCAAACGTCGCGTCTTCAGCGACACGTGTTCCATACTTTCTTCTGTTCGCACAGCATTTTTCGGACGGAAGACAGTACGAACGAATTATATGTTTATAATTAGACTGCACGTCTGAGTTAGCACTGCGTGAGTCTTACGTTGAACGTAACCCTCTGTTATTTGCATTTCCGCGAAATGTTTACGAGTAGACCAGATTTTGCTTTCTTCTTTCCAACTAGAAACTATTCGGACGTTCCGTTTTCGCTGTACGAATCAATTCATTCGGAATAAACGTATTATTGCGTTTAAAACTGCCCGGACGGACAAACACGGCCAACGGGATACACGTATAATAATCATTTCTGCACCGAAACATTATCTTACGGCGCACGAACATTTAGGAACTTCACTCGCGTGAATCCGCTATATTATATTTCCAACAGCCGGTTATGTGATTCGTCCGACCGAATCGAACGCAGGATTTGTTAGTTTTTTCACCGACGATTTTTCGCGCGAAACCCGTTTTTCCGAACATACTACTACCTCTACCGGTCGTCCGACTGTTTCTGAATTTCTAAAACACGTTTATCGCATTACGCGTATTATACGAACGTATGCCTACACCTTAATATACGCATCGATGTGCCAGGACGTTTCGACCAATTAATTCCGTTTAGGTTTCGTAACCGGTTGTCTTATTTTGCGAGCAATCGTAATTCGGGCTCCCGACGAAACGCGTTTCGGCACGCAATCGATAGAACGGACATCGGACATGGCGAAAACGGAATATCATCGCACTCGCCAGCGCGTATTCTATTATTAGATCGAACGTTATACAACACGATCGCCGTATAATTATAATACCTATGCCTAAAAGCCTAAACACGCACCGTTGTTGCACCGTGAATAGTATAATAAACCGTTATGTTTTTGTGTCGTCTAACCCGCACACGTTGTTATGCAAGCGATATATCTACTGCTGTTTAATATTATTATTATTAAATACCGTACGTTTTTTTTTTTTTATTTATTTTTTTTTTTTTATTGCATTTCAGGCGTACATTCGCATTGGATCCAGTCGTTGCGGCGGTTCGTTGGTGAATAGATATCACGTAGTCACGGCCGGACACTGTGTCGCCAGGTGAGTGGATCGCAGTTGTTGTAGTCGGATGGTTGTTATTCTAGCGGTACCCCGATGTCGATTGGAAAATAACAGAACGGTTTAAAACCGTGCTGCTCGTCAATCACGCGTTTCAAAACGTACACACGTCGACGGATTATTATCGACTAATCTCTCCAAAGATCCGGCAAGATTTCAAACTCTTTTCAATATCCAAATCGTTTTTTCGGGACACGAAAGTGTTTTGTATTTTCGTACCTGACAAGTAACAATTCAGCGTGAAATAATCTTAAATTCTATTAAAATACCGTCGACCGGAAACGTTTAAATTCATTAATAAATCAACTCGATCGATCACGATTGGGGATTACATAACGCAGTTCCGAACGTTTGAACGTCAACTGTTTGAATATACCACGGTTGTTCTCCGCGTAGTCCATATTGACGCGTTATTGTGCGAATACCGAAAATAATATTTAAAACTACAATGGTACCTATACGTTAAAAAATGTATGCCGAAAAAAATCAATGTGCTCGTTAAGTATTTCTGCGAAAAACATAATTTTTTTTATCTCATGTCGATTTGAAACATCATACTGTTAATCTAGTAAACAATTATTATCGCAATACTTGACTCTTGTAGATTATTATTTTTATTGAGTTATTCCGTTCCGTTCGTTGATAACCGCACAAGTAATAGAATAATTTAGTCAATTTTTATCTTCTCGCGCAGCCAACGGATAACTATCGCATCGCTACTACTCACACGCTCTCACTTATTAACGGTATAGTATTGTCCGATCGAATCAGTTTAGACACCCGTGAGCGCAAAATGCCCCTGTAGATTTTCAATACCACGAATTGAAAAATAAAAAATTAAATTAAAAAAATAACGAAAGAGAAATATAAAGTGATCCCAAACATTGTACGCCGCAGTATCGAAACCGAAATCGAACGCAACGTTTTAATCCTGTTATTTCACTTATATATAATATTCAATGAAATATTGACTGTGCACAATGACACTACAGTTGGTAGTGAGATTTTTCTGGTTAACGTTTTTTAAACATTTGTTGCACGCGTACGCTTGAAAAATAAAATCAACAGCGAAGAACGCGAACACCTTTTATTCTCATACAATTTGTTTTTGAATACATCAATCGTTGTGTTCGAAAATTGTCCGTAATATTTAATACCGTAAACGTACAACACCTTGCCGGTTGATTCGGAAGTTCTTAAGTTTTCCACCGATTAAAAAAATAAAATAAAACCCTAGCGTATGCGTCCGTAACCCAATGTTAACGTCGTCGATTGGACAATCCCTAACGTTTGATCCGGTTCGCTTTTCCGTCGGGTACCGGTCCACACATCGCGTACTGACGATTCGATCGGTTGACGCGCTACGATCGCAACACTCGTCCGTATCCAGTCCCTTTTCGCTATTTGATCGCTTTCAATTCAATCAGTTTTCAATGCGATTGCTTTTCCGAGAGAAACTCAACGTATCGGTCCCCGGGTAGGGTACAAATCAAATACACAAGTATAACGGTCATCTGTGTGTCTACAGGGCGTCGGCGCGACAGGTGCAAGTGACATTGGGTGACTATGTCATCAACTCGGCGGTGGAACCGTTGCCCGCGTACACGTTCGGTGTGCGCAAGATCAGCGTGCACCCGTTCTTTAAGTTCACGCCCCAAGCCGACCGATTCGATGTGGCCGTGCTCCGGCTGGACAGACCGGTGCAGTACATGCCGCACATAGCGCCCATCTGCCTGCCGGACAAGGGCGAAGACTTCCTGGGCCACTACGGATGGGCCGCCGGATGGGGAGCCCTGCAAGCCGGTAAATATACGCGCGACCAGGGCAGAACCGTACAGGTTGTGCACCGTTCGTGGAAAATGGCCGCCGTTTTCCAATCGGTCGCACCCTTTTGTGATAATATCGTTTAGCAGGTCTTCGTGAACGATGAATATAAACTTCGTGTTTCGCTCGGTCTGGTTCAACGGTCGAAGTACCATAGATTCGAGCAGTATGCGGGATTTTTTTTTTTTTTATTCAATATTATAATCGTTACGGTTACTGATGCCCGTGGGCTAGAATTGAACTCGTGCTCACGCGTGTGAGTAATCCGCAAGTGTTTGTGCGCTGAAAATAATTTTCGGACGAGATACGAACGGTGTGTGCATTTGTCGGTGTAAGAGGTGCGATGCCCATTATCCAATGTTTAGGCTCTTTGCGATCAGCAATACTAGTCGTAATATTATTAAAGCGATCCCCGTGTACCGTTTTGTTATGACGGAGGACGAGGCAAATTTTGTCGTGACGGATACTCGTCCCTCTAAACACGAACTTGAAGAGGAGGATTCATATTATCAACTCGGAGTCGTGCGTTTTTCGGCGTTTTCGTCTCGACGAGGTTTACATTGATCGTACATGGAATGGTCAATCTAGAGAAATAAAATGATTCTAACATTTTTACATTCAATTCGTGTTACATGCTGCGGCATGATTGTGTATAGATATTTACCACGATGATGATGAAGAGGCATTTAGTAAACTGCGCTACTTATTTCTCCTCAATAAACAAAACCATTTTCAACATTATTATTCATTATTCAATTTGTTTTACTTATCCGATGGACAGGTAGAAGAGGGAAATCGAAATTAAAACAGTAGTTATCATAGAATTCACTAAAAATAGTTTTGTATAGGTCTTTAAAATGTAGTTTGCTCAAAAGTATTCAGGTAAAATCGTTAAACTTATGATCGAGTATAGGATCGGATAAGATTTGTCACTTTTTTTTTTAAAATTCACTTCGTCGACACGATTCAGCTTTTTCATCGGTCCACTGTGCGATTCATTCAACGTACGATTACAATACGTATACTCTGAAGGTAGGGGTAACACTTGCATATACCTCATTTGAGCAAATTACGCGTTGGTATTTTTTTTCTTTTAATTTGATCGGGGATGGTTCGATATTTCACAAATACGCTGATTATAAGAATAAACGTACAGTTTAATATCTGAATAGCCGTTAGAATTGTTCTTGCCCACCGGCTTTTAATCTTTATTTTTTATTATTATTTCTACAAGAATTATTATTTATATAATATTGTGGATTTTCATCTCTTCCCAGCACTATTTCCATAAATAAATTCGTTAAATCATGTGTAAAGAAAAATAATGATAATAATAATAAATACGATTACTTTTACTACAAATAACAGTGATAAAAGTATAATGGTATTCCAACAAAAATTTTCAGCTCTAAACATACGCAATGTATATGTATCCCTCATTGCTTCCACCGTGTAAGTTTTAATGCGTCGGTTTTTTCGAGACACACAGATTATCATAAAAAATAATCATTCTTAGCTTGTTCATCATTTTAGTTCAACTGTTTGGGGTGTAATGACCCTACATAAACCATTTTAGAAGAGCCGTTTTTATTGTTGAACAATGGTAAATAATATTTAGATTCACAATTTCCATGGGAAAAATTAATAGGTTAGGTATTAACTAACCAGTTTTAATAAATCAACTTCTACGTAGTGATTTAGCTTCAGATAAAATACCACATTTACGTTTTAAGTCTTAACGTGGTGCACATTATTTTCATTCAGTTGTACTACGTATCTCTGCTACCTATGAAGGTGCTGGTATGAAGGTACAAATAAAAAAATAAAACATGATGAACCAGCGATTGAGCTAAGTAGAAAGATATAAAACTGTCATGGGCTCCAAATCCAGTGCACGATTTTCTTGATGAAAAATTGTAATTCATCATATTTCCCCATGTACGTGGGGAAATATGGTGAATAATGCGTGGGCTTAGGATTTGTAACCCCGCTAAATCTTTCTCCGACGCGTAATCACGTTACGATAGTTCAATCGCGTTTACACCTATTTATCTGAGAAATATTCGCGTTGTACGGTTTATAATATACCGCGTTAATATGAACATAAACTCATCGTTTAATATTAATTCCTATTAACATGCGATTGTTTTTGTACGACTGAAATACATGCGATTGTTTTTGTACGACTGAAATACATGCGATTGTGCGTAAACGAAAGGAAGACGGCAGAATTAGAGAGGAAACAGTGAATCTAGTATATTTACACCGTTAGCGTTAATGTACATGGCATTTGAATCAACAATTTATTTTTAAGCCTAATGATCTAGGTTAGATAAAACCATGATAATTCTGTGTTATATTCAAATATGCTATGCGGTTGTTTGAAAATCAGTATTCTTTATATTTATGCGTTTCGTACATCGACCTCGATTACGATTACGCGCGATGCAATTATTCCTGATCCTTTTGTTTTAGTTTATACCAATATCATATATTGTACCAACAGGAGATTATTTGCATTTTTTTTTTTTAAAAGAGCCATTCATTACGTTACATGGTAATCCATAGAATCACTCTAATAATTACCATGGTGTAACAAACCGTTATTCCCGACAAATATAGAAATAAAATATAACATATTATGTCGAACAATCAAAAAACCAAATGAATAGCTTTTTGAGTTCATATTTTCTTTTTGAATATTCCATTTTTGTACGTATAAATATAAATTATTAAAATACATAAATAAATAATTATTTTCATAATCGATCGGCAAAACCGTATTTTTCTCGTTTGAATAATAAATTCTTCAAATTCATTCATTGATTGCGATTGAATCGGACTATTCGAGGGAAAATATCCATTACCACGATATTGTATTGGCGAAAAGAATTATTGGTCAATTGAAAATGAAAAGAAAAAAAAATTAAAAGTAAAAGGGAACGGCCAAACGTTTGTCCGGAAAGTAGTATTACGGATGTTGCACTATTAATTTAAATTACACAGAGTGTAAACAATTGTGAATTCAACCTGAACGAAACACGAATAAATACACCTATATTATAAAGAGTGGAAAAAAAAATGCAATTCGATAAATATGACGTTTCCATTGATATTTCTTCTAGAATAATTTCGAGAAATTAGTTTTAATTAAATTATTTGTTTTTCCTGTGCAGAATTTTTTAAAATTTTGAAAACAAACAAAATTAAAATTGAATTAAACCATTTAAATATAAAATAAAATAATATCCGTCGAAAATGATCTGTAAATGTCAGTTGAAATAGTAAACGGTAAAAGTAATTGTATAGGCTTTATTAAAACATTTCTAATACTTGATTACAAATAATCAATTAGAAGACGTTCAATATGCATTGGTTGTTATTTTTCTGAATATTGTAGGCAAATAATTGCATTGAAATCACAAAAACAAAATATTAAGCAATGAAAAATCTTTTCAATCAAATTAAAAGTGATAATTTTTTCGGATTCAAATCTAGTCTTAAAAAATCTATTGATGCTATGAAAATTATTAACTAATTTTAAATTTAATAAAAATTACATTCCCAAAATTGAATTATTTTCAATACATTTTTGAATCAAGTAAAATAGAGTATTAATTATTTGTGAATTCAATGTTTAAATGCTTGAAGGAACACATATTTCTTTATTTCTCAAATTAATGAAAATTACATATATTTTTTAATTTTCTTAACTATGCTGTTAGGTAATTTATTTTAGTGATATTATTTTGGTTAGAAAAATATGAAAAATGTACATTTGTTAAAAGGTGCTACAATCCTTAATTTTCTGTATGCATCACATGCGCAATGTGGGGATGAAAAAGTTTTTGTTTTAAACGTATTGTATATTCAATTGATGTGATAAAGATTTTGAACACTGATTAAAATTCATCATAATGTTTACTTTAAATCATTTTTTATTTTTTATCCCAACCTTTTACAAAATATAATTAAACATTTTGAATGCATGGATAAAAATGAATAAGTTAAATGTTTGGTAATTTCAAATACAAAATGTTAAAAAAAGTGAGGAAGCTGATCTAAAGTACATTTTAAAAAAAACTCAAGTCAGTTTTCAAAATGTTTATTGCGACGATTGATCATTAGAAATAAGAAACGTCTAAATCCCTACATTACGCATGCGATAGATTAAGGTTAAAAGATATGGCTTGCAATCCCCTTAATGTAATTCGTATCATCGAATTTATAAATCGATTTCTGTTCATAGTCTTGTACTGTAATTTAGCTGTCAAAATATTTTGATTAGATTTCACCAAATATTAATTTATAAATTTGTGCTCGCTTTCCTTCGATCAGAACGGCAATACGTATGTTATAATTACAGTACAACGACAGAATAAAAACAAGAGATTTAGTAGGTGGGAAACGAGTGATCGAAAAAAGGAGCTAAAACCGTCGAATCGATTGAGATAGCGATATAACGGATGGCGATCGAAAATATGTATAACGATTTACGCAGTTCGATACTCCAATGGTAGTGATCCGTCGACCGTCTACAGACGAGAACAACTTCAAACGTGAACTTTCGAATTCCGGATGCCATCGGCAGCGTCAAGTGGCGGCACACGGATAACGGAGACAGTAACGAGAACTGTATTATGACAACGCATTTGATACATTACAGTCCGATACTCGCATATTTACTAGGTTGACGGCTGGTGCGCCGATATCCGCGTTCCGGTACCACCCAGTGATCGTGGCCGAAGCCGATCTCGGGGGAGAAAAAAATTCTCCGGTCCACGGCCATGGCATCGCCTGCACGCGCGCGCGTGCACAGGGTGTTTTCGAATCGTGAACGTATTCGTATAACGAAACGACGATGGTCGAAATGAATCGTTTTATGACGCTCCGTATTCGTACGGTAAACGTGCACGTTTTGACGAGATAAACGGATGCGATGCGATTTCCATTTCGGGTGGCGGCACGTCTCTGCCTCCGGGTCCATTACAGAACCGTGTACTATGTGCGTTGAACCGGTGAAAAAAAATAGTTTGCCTTTTATCGAATTCAAACGTGTAGTATCGTGCATCTCGGAAATAAGAACAATGTTGTCCGTATTCGAAACGCTGCGACTCGAATAAACCGTCACGACATTTCGTTTTTCCAAATCGGTAGTCCTCGCGGTCGCGTTGGTCCCGATGACGTATTAATATCACAACAAAATCGTAACGCTCGGACGTCAAACTTTAATCAATATAGCAGCCATTCGATAAATAATTCACGGATTCGAAAAAATCCGTTCTATCGCGTGTAAGTCTCCAGGAGTTACAGCATGTATGCACGAAGTTAGCAAGTAGTTACAAGTACTGGATGATAACAGTATTGAACAGTAGTTTCTGATTAGTATAAAGTCATGTATAAGCTACAAACTTGAAATGGACTGCAAACCTCTTTTATGTGTATGCATATGAAGAGTTATGAATAAAAACAATTATTTTTATAATTTCATTCGGTTTTACACACCTTTTCGTAATAACACGAATACACATTTTCTCAAAAAATATAAATACAAAATAAAGAGATTCATTTGATTTCACTCTTTAATCAATAATTATTACTCATTAAAATGTAATTACACGTCATGTAAGTAATTCAATGCATTTGCTTTCGAACTTCATGAAAGGAGAGAAACTTTTGTTTTTTGTTCATAATCTCATCCAAATTAGGCTGTATGTTCGATATTTTCACTTTGAATACAACCGCAGACCCTCCATCAGCATCCCGTGTACCCTTAAAGGACCAAGGATCACCTGTTGAGCGAGAACCTTTGGTTTATAACACACGCGTTACAATGATCGCTCGGACGTACGAGTGCCACGTATTTATAATGATACACGATACTAATATCGTTAAGCTGGTTCGCGTAAGCGACGAACACGAATGATATTGTGCGTACGAATAGGAATTAACGACCGATTTCGCTGCGAACATGTATGCCGTAGTGAGAATAAGGATAAAAAAAAATCATAATACAAAAATAAAAACGAAAAAAATTAATAAAGGAAATGCGTCTGCCACGCGTGTCACGAGCGTGGAAACGAGTTTCTAAAAAATCTTTGTGCCCGATGCCGTCAGCTCTGTCGTTGTCGCAGTGGCGTTCGTCCAGAGGCTAGCGTATTGTATGCGTTGTGTCGACGGTGACTGAAATCAGTAGTGTTCATGATCGTCGTAATTAATTTTTTTTTTTCATCTATCCCCAGTGTTTTCACGCGACAACTCGAAAAACGTTCGATATTCCAATTAATTCAAGAAAACAAGTCTATGTATGCGAAACATTGCACGTATTTTAAGTACTTCTATGATTCATAATTTCGCTATATTCGTCGGCTGTATAATGGGAGGGGATATTATAAACAGGGATGCTGCATAAAACTGGGAGGAAAAAATGTACACTGCTAAAATCATGCAAATATAAATACGAATGAAAAACCACCAACCACGATCGTCATGCACGGTAGACGAGTATAATACGATTGTTGTTCGCGTTGTAAGTCGTCGATTTCTTTTTAGGATCTTACATCCAGAATTTTGTTTTTGAAACATTGTACCTTAAATTTCATATTTTACCGGTGAATTTATTAGACCTCATTTATAGCAATGCAACCCAATAATTAACGTCCTAAGAGTAATTTCGTCACTATTAAAGCATACAAAAATAACGTGAATCACAGATACATAAAGGTGACGATTGATTGCATCTTATTATTTTTCCTCCGCCGTACGTTATTCATATACTCTTGAAACATTTTAAAACAGACCGTATAAATAAATTACAACACCACATTCTCTCATCGGTCATAATATAATCGACGTCATCATTCAAGTGTGCGAGTGTAATAGTATGCCATCTACTCGTAACATTGTCATGAGTCATATTGTATCGAGTCGATAGCGGCTGTAGTCAGCGACCACGTTTAGTCGATTACAAATAATTTATGGTTTAAAGCGCGTTACTATCATATTAAATTGTGACTCAAAAAATATCTATGTTTTTCAAATATCTCTCGGTGCATTGCATGATTTGATTTTATTCGTAAAACAATAAACTATTGACTATCAGTATGGTATATTGTATGATATCTCGACCAACGTTGCCTCTAGTTGTATTTGAAATTCGATAATACGTCTGCCACTTTTAGTTATTGTCCGACAAGGAAGTTTCCTGCCATAAACCCAACGCTTTCTTAACGCGCTTCGTCTCCTGGCGTATTTTTATACCGCACAGTGTGTATCAAACAACATCACGAGATCGTCACACGTTAAGCTGCGCGAAGGCGTAAAACCACTTTGACACTTGGGTTGAGGATTTTAAAAATATTTTAAATACATGTAAACAGATATGTTGAATTGTTGAGTTACAGCGTTTTGTGTTGTTGTTTTTGCGTGCTTTTCGCTATACAGGTTCTAGACTGAGACCGAAGACGCTGCAGGCCGTCGACGTGCCGATCATCGACAACAGACAGTGCGAGAGGTGGCACAAATCCAACGGCATAAATGTCATAATCTACGACGAGATGATGTGCGCCGGTTACCGGGAAGGATCGAAGGATTCGTGTCAAGTGAGTGATACTATATTTGACCGCACATATAAAACAATATGCGATCGAAAACCGTTCGGTACGTTATAGAACAGATTTACTACTATCCGAACGGCGGACGAGAGCAATAATAAGTATAATATATTCGAACTGACTAAACGCTTTCTTCACGCTGCTATAAATAATTTCTCACTGCTGAAGAGGAAAACAATTGTAATTACATTTCCCTCGAATAACCATCGCTGCCGCGTACATCCGTGTGTAATTATATAACGTATAATTTCGATGAGAAATTGTGAACAATTTTTATTTTTCGCAACAGTTAAAACAGTCGATCGAAAAATACGGTAAACTATCGTAACTATAACTTCGTGGCGCTGATCAATAATTTTATAATAATATCAATAATAATCGTATATCGCAGTGTTATTATTACCGTGTTCCCGTGTGCAAAAAACAGGTACGACACATTTTGTACATCCTTTCGCTAATCGCGCACGAATGTTACGAAAGCAAACGTCACGTACTCGATGAGATGGTGTCGAGATCTTTCCGGACGGGTGACTAACGCATTCGGTGATTTTAACGAAGCGGCTTTCTTCCGACACGCTTAATGGAAGTCGTATATATACACATGTTCATAATTTTCTTCGGAGAAAAATCAGGAAAATAATATACACACACACACACACACACACACACACACACACACACACACACACACACGCATACGTATAATATATACACTCGTAGAATACGAAACAAAACGTATCGACGGGAAAATTGTAACGAACGCTAACCGTGAAAAAAGATAATATCTAAAACTCGTGTTTTACCACACGTAATATGGTACACAACTGTAGATTTTTTATTGCACGAATCGTGCAGTACAATAATGTATGGTGACTTCATCGGTGAGATATTAACGTACACCCTTTGATTTTGTAACCTCTTCGCCCACGACCGAACGGGTCCGAGAAGAATTTTCTTGACGTGTACAATGTATTCACATTTACATGTATACATGAAATAAACGATGACACAAATGATATTGCGATTCTAACGTTATTTACAATCTTAAATTCCAGTCATGAGAGTTGATAAATCATATTGTTCGGTGCACGTAGGTGAACTGATTCCCTTTGACCGTTTTAATCCCATAACCATCATCGATTGCCATCCGAACACTGCACCGTATTTGAAACATTTGAACATGCGTTTCATGTGAACACGTTACACACATTTTTCAAACGACGTTTTCCATTGCGTATTATGTTTTTAACCGGTGCGCTGTCTTGTTCGCAGGGCGATTCGGGCGGACCGTTGATGTTGGAGAAAACCGGCCGCTGGTACCTGATCGGCATCGTGTCAGCCGGTTACTCGTGCGCTCAGCGCGGACAGCCGGGGATCTATCACAGGGTCGCGTTGACGGTCGATTGGATTTCCTACATAATCAATTCGTCGCAGTAACGAGACTCGGCAGCAGCCCTTCGACCATTCCCACCGTGTCGACCAATCTCCGGCAACGAAGACGGCGACGGCGACGACTGGCCAACACGTTTCGATTATTGCATTTCCGAACTATTTATGACGACGTGTGTGTCACTACTATATCGTATATGTGTATTGAACAACACGCACGTATGATATATATTATATATATATTTATACGTATTTTATTTTATTTTATTTTACACTTATTATTTTTAATAATATTATTTTATTTTTATTTTAATAACAAAAAAAAAATCATATTGGACCCGACGGCGACGTGAGGTCGCGGTAATTTTTAATAATATTATTGTGTTTTTTATTTTATTATTATTTTTTTTTTTTATATATTATTTAAATTATTGTATCACATTATTATTATTATTTTTTCTTTCGAATATTGTTTCGCTTTCGAACACCCGCGACCGCGATCGCACAGCCGCCGCAGCGGTCTCGCGATATATATTGTTATTAATGCGTGTATAAATGTGTATAGTGAATAATTTTACGTGTACAATAAACTCACAACGTGGCTGTAATAATAGAGTAATTAATTTAACAACAGCTTAATAAGAGTATAATATGAAAATAAAACACAAAAACCGAAAATCTTATGTATTGTGTTCAAACATGTTTGATCAGCACTGCGTGATCCAAATATGTCTTCCGTTCAAATGTTGTTTGTTCTCGGTTCCCCTTCCCTCTCTCGATTGCGCTTCCGCTTTTGTCGTATTGTCTTTATCCATCTAGGACCGTCTTCCCCTCACGGTTGTTTTCTCATCTGTTGACGACGTAATTGCGTTGCAAGGAAAAAAAGAAAAAGAGAGAGACAGCGAGATAAATTACAACACGAAACGCTGATACGATGGGACTGGAGTACGTAAGGAAACAATCGCTTCACTCAACGTACATAATATTATGTATAGATAAACGACAAAGATTGAAATAATATGACGAGGACGTGAAAACGAAGAAGAAAACAACAAACGGACCGACCGTGCATTTTGAAAAATGCGATTTCAGATCTTCGAAGAAAATCTGCCCACTATTGTGTGTACTCGTGATACGCATAATATGAATATATATATATATATATAAACACTTTTAGGCCAACTCTCGTGAAAGGTGTTTTATTATCTATATTTATTTTGTACGCGTTCAATGAATGCAAGCAACTTTGCTCGCGTTGGAAATATTTCGTGTGCGACTATCTAAGCACAATTAAACCTGTCCAATTGTCTAATTGGATATCAGAGAAAGTGAATCGTTTTTCCCCTTCTTTTTCTCGTTTTCCCAAATGGCTGAGATGGTCGATGTGACTGAGATTCGGCGGAGTGTTCATCCGATAGACGACGACAGAGATAGTCGGTAGGTATTTACAAGATGATTATAATTTACCACTTAATTTAACAGTAAACACATTAATTCCAGTCGAAAAAAACCTTAACGTTTTATACATCTCTCGCGGTGTGTATAAATTATTTCGTTTACACGTTGTTCGACAACTCATGTCCGAACTCGATGCGTGATTTTCATTTAGTAATAAACAATGTTTATTAAACATTTATTTATTTATTTTTTTTTTTTTTTTTTTGTGCGACACGTCTGGACAATTAAAGCATATAACGCAAGAAATATTTAAAACATAAATCACATATTATTTATACATTATTTAGGTAATGCAATTTAATAAATAATATAGTTATGAAAAATTCACTCTGACACCATTGAAAAGCTAAGTGTATCGCACAAAACATAGATTTGGTTCGGTTAAATAATCGAATTATGAAAAAAAAATCAAATCTACTACACCAAGACCTTATGACAAACAACTCTGTACATACGATATATTTCTGATTATTTTCGCTACTTTTGTGTTCATCTTATTGGTTTAATTAATTACCAAGTTATCTTTACGTTAATAATGAATTTATTTAATTAAAAATATAAAATTTGAATCATAAATCTGAGTTTTAAAAATTAGAGTTCATAAATCAATCGAATAGAACTAAAACTCTAGGTAGGAGTTAAAAGAAATTCAATAAAATTAATTCTTCATAATATACCTTACGTTTCAACTGCAGTACATATAGTAGTTCTAAAGAAAACCTTCATTACTTTTAAAATAATTTATAATACCTTCAATAATACAGCTCAAATATAAGCATTGTTAAAAATAAATTTCGAAACACATTCCAAGTATTAAAATATAATTTTTCATAGAAATGTGCCCTGGTAATTATTAACATTACAACGATGTTAATTACTATCAACCTCATTTTAAAATTAGATACAGCCATGTAACTAATGGTATAGAGTCAATTTTAGATATTTTAAAGATCTGCGTGGTTCTGCGCTATAATTGCAGAAATTAAATTTTTTTCTAGCTGCACATTTAGTCTTTTAAAATATCTATCTTATTTTTACCACCATTGTATAATTTAAAAAACCAAACAGATCGCTTGACTATACACCACTAATGTGTTCGAAATATTGAACATTACTAGCTATTGTATTGACGTATTATACATAGATAAACTTTGAGATATTTTATAAGACAAATAGAAAGATATACCAATAATTTGGGGGGGGGGGGGAATGTATATGCAATTTATATGTGACATACGTTTAACACACAAACATGTAACGCAGTATTTTGTTACGGACATACTATGTAAATGATTACCATTACGCTGGTACATATATAGCAGTATTAAGAGCTCACATTATAAGAGGTCTTATAGTAGTCATAGGGACCAGTAGCACGGGTTTAGTGACTAACAGGTCGTAGAATAAAACAAATACACATCACACAATGTTATACCGTTTTAAAATATAAACATACGTGGAAATTATCTATATGACTCGCAGCAGTAGTGGAACATTCACCACTCAAGTATACTATAGTTAATAAGATTTAGGTAATAATTAGGGCCCAAATTTCAATGTAGAAGGCATCTTTTTTTTTATGACCTTGCACAATATTTTCCAAGTAAATAATTTGTTGTACGTAACAGACACTTCAAAACCGAAACTTTTAATTTGCATTTTTTCAGGGTTTTTTTTATATTTTTCAATGTTTTCTCATTTTGAGAGCATTTTTTAGTATTTTTTGGTAATTTTCTTTTAATATATATTTGTACAGTATACGAGTATAATACATAGTATTTTTAAATATTATACATTTCAAATGTAAAGAATATTTTTTTAAAAGTATGTTCTAGAGTTTTGAAGTTTAGATTTGTGGGCCTAACTATTTCTTTACCAACTCAACCAATATCGACATGTTGAAAACTTGAATAGAAGTTACAGTATACTGCTGTGAATATTTTCAATTTATTAAAACAGTAATCAATTAATTTGAAGAAAACAATGCCATAGTTATAAAAAAAAAAAGCAAAATATTAAATGGTAGTTAAATAAATGTGATCAAATTTAATATTTATAAATACTAACCATGTAAATATACCAATCTGTATAACTTCTATATTATGTACCTTAAGTTGTGTGATAATAAGTATCAATGATAATTGGTGTCGTAAATGAGGCCAAAACTTGTATTTAAAATAATACAAGTAATTATCAAGTAATGAAGAAATATTTGGAAAATATTTTAGAAAATAATTATGATTGCACTATAATGGAAACAATTTTATTTTATTTATTTTAGAAGGTAAATAAACCTTTCCAACAAAAAACCAGAAGAATTAACACCAGACGATATTTGCCACTTTAAATATGCTTCTCATTCAATACCATCGTCGCCAGTCACAATTTTTTAATAAAATCATAAATCATCTAAAACTTAATTGTTTAGTATATTTTAATAGAGTGGAGTAAATTGGATCTAATTTCTGGTGGTGCAAAGGCATATTATTAACTTATAATTTCCAAAACACCAATTTTCCAATTTCATAAGTAAAATTCTTCGCAATAAACTATATATTTTCCCATATATTTCTTTAAATAACAAATAAATTTGAATTATTTTAGCATTAAAACCTTTATTATTATAATATTAATAAAAAAAACAATCAAGTTTTGTTTTTTGTATGCTGATTGAAATAAAACATTATTTAAAACAAAGTGTATTATTCTCTTGGGAAAAGGGAAGACCATAGTATCATCGATAACGGGATATATAATGCAGTTTCGAACAAATCAATATTGAGATGCGTTTAATTCTGGTACTGCAATATTAAATTTGTCAAAATCAGGACAAATTGTTTTTTTTTTCGTTTTTTCTTAATGATACAACTTTATATTGTTTTTTTGATTATATAGGTACAATTATCACAAAAGTGTATTTATTCATTTATTATTTACCCCCATGACATACTGCATACCAAATGCCCCATTTGAAAATATACGAAACTCCCCTGAAATAGAAGAACACTACAGTGATTAGTTGAATAACTACAAATGACAAAATATTAAATAATGGTTGGTTTGTTTAGCGATAACTACATCTACAGTAAGAGAACGTATATACAAAAAACGTATTTGACAAAAAAAATCTTCACTTGTCAGGAAAATAATTAAAAATAGATTAGTCATTCAATTATTCAATTTTTTATTTTACCATGGCAATAATATTATGGTTTTTCAACTTAAAATTTAATTAAATACAAACATTATTGAAGTCTCATTCCGGATTCGTCTCTTTCCCGAAACTCATCATCGGGACACCAGGATACCTTACTCAAAATCGGTATCGTTGCAGCTAAACCGGGACGTATGGCAATCTATTTTAGTCCGATCATAGCAAATACCTTTCACGCCAGTTTACGCAATAAATAAATTAATTTGACTTAAAACTATTTTGTTAAGTTAATAAATATTTGAACTTGGAATTATTTGCAATTAAGTTATTATTTTAAATTGAGAGTTTATTTAACACACAAATATCATATAATATATTGAATATTGAAAAGCTGCTCAATTGATTGTGCTTTATTCTCGTTGCACTAGCCGGAACGCATTGAACGGCACAACACAATTTAAATAACTACATCTCAGTTGGGCCTGGAAAAACTTAAAAAGAAAAACAATTACCTATTACGGTATATCTAGTTGGATCCGGCTTAAATAATTAATGTTATACAGACACATTGTAGTTTAAATCCCAATTGTTACGAAAACAACAATGTAATAATAACGATAACTATAATGAAAGCATTTTGATATCGACAGGCCTGCAAAATACTGAAGGTGACTATTTACGCTGAAAATAAGTTTCAATAAAATCTTGTATGAGGTGCGTTATATTATACGCGATTTATTAAAAATATAGAAAGCAATGTTATTATCCATGCGTGTTTTTAAAATAGTAAACTCTAATGGTACTACCATAAAATCTGTATTTAAAATAACATAAATTTCTAATTTCCTACTTACGTTAAACTTTTAATATTTTAATTAACTAATTAAATAATAAAATACTTTGATCTGAGATCAATTAAAAATTGGTAATAAAAAAAAAAATTATTATTCTTTACGAATATGATTTTCCTTCAAGAACATTTTATTTGTAAATAATTTATAAACAATTTTTAACTGCAATTTATCTACATTGAAAATCTTTCAAAACAATATATAACAATCATTAT